AAGATGCACTATGGAGACAACAGCATGATTTAGGGCAGTGTAATCTCCTGCTTACTCTAGGAGAGGAGAGGAACACAGCAAACAACTCTGTAGATGTGGCTGATGTCTCATTAGCCAAGTTTATTGGAAGGAAAAGGGGGTTAGTTTACTGAATCTTGGATATGTGTATTCTACTCATTTATCAAGAAGTACATTACAGTGGCCTCTTTGATAGTTTTGATTCTTTTTCTGTCATCTGGCTCAAGGGGAATTTACTCCCAGTTTAGCAGATACATCAGAGAGATGTATTTGCTATGTAGTACTTTGGAAATACCTATTCCTATCCCCAGGGAAAGAGAACTGTGTTACAGCAGCATGAATTAGAACTGCATAGTAAAGAAAATGGAGTCAGGGTTGAGTCAAAGTTTTACACAGAGAGGGAGGGATAGACAAAGTTTCAAGGAGCCTTGATAACACTAAATGTGTTTTATAATATGAAATTGGTGGATACCATACTGCAGCCTGTGTCCAACATTTTGGTTTGCCTGAGCCGCACTGAGTGAAGAGGAATTGTCTTGGGCCATATATAAAAGTCATATATGACTGTGGGGCTGCATTATTAGCTGTCCAGGGCGGGTGATGGGCCATGGATTGGACACACCAGATTTAAACCAATATTCTGCATGAACAAGGTCCAGAAATATAATTACAAATGTTGGACGTGTTAGACTAGTTTTATTGTCAATATGGTGTGATGAGTGGTTTTCTAGTGCCAACAGTTGACCTCCTCCTGTTAAAAAAAAGGTAATTGCTTCCTCTTATTATAGTGATGAGTTGGCACTGCGATCAAATTATGAATTAAAATGGGGGCGTTCGCACCTCATATAGAATCTGGACAGACTCGAGTGATCTCTTCGGACTAAGCTTCCATTAACACACTGCTGCCTGTCCTAAGGAGCGACAAGTTACAGTATGTTGGAATATAGCATAAGTCACTCCATCTTGTAACCTTCAGTATGCTTAATTCTACACTTCTTCATTCTTACGTGTTAGGCTGCAATCTGCAGCTGCAAACACGTAAAGGACAGAGAACAAAGGGACATGTCAAGAAAGCTGTTTATGCAAGCTATAATATTATCACTTCCTGATAAGACCTTCCAATGTGAACCACAATGGCAACTTTTACTGTGAACTGTTAGTTGTATAAGCCATGTAATAGATAAGATACATTCTGTAAAACTTTTGCTGTCTCTAACTTCCAAAACTCCCTGTTTGCCTCCCCCGGTTCACCCCCCTGCTTGTAGCTTCTGCCTGCAATTTGCTTTGTTATGATTGCTAATAAAAGAGGTCCCCAGAGACTATTCTGGGCTGATCTCATCCCGAGGAAACCTGGTATGGTGTCTTCATATGACAACTCATGAATCAGCCCCCGGACGAGGTCTGAAACCAAGCCGGGAGACTCAGGTCCCGGTTTTTCTACAACAGTACAAGTCACGCAGCTACTGTACGGTCGAGTAGTAAACAGTGTGACGCGGCAGCCGCGCTCGAGGTAAGTTAATGAGGCGGAACAAAGGAAAGGCAGGAAGAGGAGCGAGAACAAAGGAAGGCGACCTGCCCAAAAGCAGCCGCGGGCACTCGGACAGCAAGCCAAGAGGAGCTACAGACTTTTAACGAGCAGAAGCTGGAGGGGAGAGAGAAGAGTAGAGGCAAAAAGCTGCCTTCGTCTGCATTTGAAATCGCAAAGCTGGATTCTTTATTCCAAGCAAAGATGGAGCGGGCCGGCCCCCAAGGACCGGGTTGTTTCGTCTTTCCTACTTTCTCCTGCATTTCACCGTAGAGACGCTTTCACCAGCTGGAGGAGGCGCTTGAAACTAAGGCTCCCTTCACCCCGATCTGTCCTAAAGCACTTCACTCCGCGGCTGTCTGGATTCGCACAAGTCCTTCTACCAAGTTGGATTAAAGCAGGGGTAGGCAACCTTGGCTCTTTTATGATCCGTGGACTTCAACTCCCATAATTCCTGAGCAAGCAAGCTGGCTCAGGAATTATGGAAGTTGAAGTCCACGAGTCATAAAAGAGCCAAGGTTGCCTACCCCTGGCTTTGGGTATCAAGAAAAAGTACTTCCACAATCCGTATTTGATCAGTACGCCTAATAAGCCAGGTCAGGATCACAGAATGGGGCGCAAATCCTGAACGGATTTGTGGATAAATCCTTCCCTTTATCAGCTTTAAAACAACAAGGAGGTATCACGGAAAGCCTCGTCGCTCTGGACTTGGCAGCTGCCATTGCCCGACGTGCACGCCGTTCCTTTCAATTTCGGTTCGGGGGTTGCGTGGCCTGGCACGGCACGCTGAGCGAGCCCAACTCGGACCGCGAAGGATTCAAGGATTTGTGCTTCAGGCACCAGATTAAGCTTGCCGCGCGAACACAAACATTGCGCGCCCATATTGCCTCCCTGAAAGAAACGCCACGTGCCGAGATGCCTTGGCACAGGCACTGTCTCCCCATATTTTCGGCCTGGGGTGCTGTTTCAACCGAAAGGCAGCCACCCACGCGTGTCTGGGAGAATTCGTCCGTCGCCGCCGGCCCGCCCGCCCTGTCTTAGGGCGCGCAGCTGGAGCTAGGGGTAGCCCCTACAAGGCCAAGCGTCCAGTCCCTTCGCTCCCAAGGTCTCTTCGCCCGGAGCACCTACTGCAGCTCTTTTTCTGCGCCTACCTGAGGAATTCGTGTCATTTTTCTGCTTCTTGGCGTTCGCCATGGCTGGACTTCGGGTCTCCCTCGCCCTCCCCGGGAGTGTTGCTACCACAGTCCTCCCCCCCTCCCTCCAGTTGCCTCGAAGGAAGACGGCCACCCTCCGCCGCCGCCCGCCCTCTTCTCCTCCCCTGCGAAAGGAGCGCCTCCTCTCCTCAACTCTGCCAGCTTGCTCTTATCAAGACTGGGCGGGCTGAGCGCTTGTCTCGGTCCCCGCGGACGGGCTCAGCCCTCTGCTTTGGCCTCGGAGGAGTGAGAGAAGCGCCGCGAGGCCGGAGGTTTGCGGAGAGTTGAACCCTAAACACGCGCTGCCATTTCGTATAAAGGAGCAAAGGAGGCTGGGATAGCCTGACGGGGGGAAAGTACCCGTCTGAGGACACCAACTCAAGGTTCCCAGAGCCAGGGGTAGGCAACCTTGGCTCTTTTATGACTCGTGGACTTCAACTCCCAGAATTCCTGAGCCAGCTGTGCTGGCTCAGGAATTCTGGGAGTTGAAGTCCACGAGTCATAAAAGAGCCAAGGTTGCCTACCCCTGCTGGCAGAGCGACGAGGCTTTCCGTGATACCTCCTTGTTGTTTTAAAGCTGATAAAGGGAAGGATTTATCCATTTATCCACAAATCCGTTCAGGATTTGCGCCCCATTCTGTGATCTTGACCTGGCTTATTAGGCGTACTGATCAAATACGGATTGTGAAAGTACTTTTTCTTGATACCCAAAGCAATTGAAAGCCAATCGCCAGCCAATCTTTCTGAGATGAAATGGAAGAGGGAAACGCTTCCTTTCCGGCGAGAAATTCTGCTGGTGTTTCCTAATTTCCGTAAGAGCAAACCAATCTGTAATATTTTCTGCTCACCATAAGTTCAGGATACTTGAACTGGTAGCTTCTTTTGCAGGGGTTCTCAACCTTGGCGACTTTAAGACTTGTGGACTTCAACTCCCAGAATTCCTCAGCCACTGGCTCACACACGTTACACAACCCGCCTTGCTTACCCTACAAGGTTCCATCCCAAAAAAGGTGCCGGAACTCCGTTCTGGGCGTTCTATGACAAAAAAAGCCCTGGTCTCAAAGTCCATTCCTATATATTTCATGACGAAGTCTTTATGATAAGAGCAATGCATTTTATTGATACATACAAGAAGCCTCATAAATAATAAAAAAATAATAAAATACAGGATTTGAACGTAGAATTGCAAGTGCATTCTCCTTCCAGATTATCTCAGTTGAAGATCTTTCCCGTTTAAATTGTTCTATTTTTTAAATACAAATTAAAGAAAGTCTCCTTTACTCTTCTTTTCCTCTTTTTCTTTTAACTTGTGCTTCACAGATTGTTTGTACTGTACTTTGGACCTACATCAAGATAATCCATATAAATTCTTGGCTTTGAGTCATTTTACAGGCAAGGCAAGTTGGTGGCAAGCCAAATGCTGTTCTATGGCAATTACATATTTAAAAGTCTGGATTTTAAAAAAAAAACTGCTTGCCAAAACCAACAAAATGTCTTTTGTCAAATGTCCTTATTTGTGCTTTTGTTATGGATCCATTTTATCTGTATGAACTATATCAAAAATGCACAGCAAATATTTTCATGTTAGTAGAGTTATAATTAATATGCAACTTACAGTTTTTCAAGTTAATTGGAGGGAATTTTGATTCGGAGACACCTGGAAAACGTGGCGTGTGCTGAGCTAGAAATTTTGTGTTTCAAGAAAGTTTCCCTGGATGATCTACCAAAGATTTTAAATACAACCACAAGCATATGATGTAGGACACACATTGAGTGTCACAATAACGGCACAATAATAAAGCTGAAAAAACACTTCTGAATTTTTATATCAAAATGTTCTGCAAAAGTTTTACCAAGTGTTTTAAGAACTTCTTAGTGACCAAGGAAGCATTTCAGAAATGTACTGGAGTCAGGAAGCTTTCAAGCCACTGAATTTTAATGGATCCTTCTGTATGATGAACACTACTACTTCTTAAACTCTACAAAAGTCAAATGAATATTAAATTTCACCCAGTTTAGATAAAATAGATGTTATTCTCAAGTCACAGGAGTATTTTTTTACTTGAAATATGAAACAAATAATGATAACATTCTAATTAGGTATATAACTATATAAATTAAGGCAGATATTGTATCTGACCTCTAATATTCATTACATTTATTTATTTATTAATCAAATTTCTATAATTGCCTATCTCACAAAAAACACTATGGAAGGTAAATAAAAATTAGTTAAAGTATAGATATAAAAATGTAAAAATCCACATTAAAAATATTATAAAACAGATATACAAACCCTAGGCAGAGAGAGAATATGAATAGCCACCTTAGCAATGGATCTTTCTAAGCCCGCCTCTAGTTCCCTGGGACCCCCAGACCAGATAACATAACCAGATTTTGAGGATCTTCCAGAATATCAAAGGCATGGAGCTCATCTAATTTTGGAGTGGGGAAGGGAATGTTCAATAAGGCAAGCACCATGGCAGAGAAGGCATGTCTCCTGCCTTCCTCTCCCAAATGTTGTTTTTGGCTGATATAACCTCAGAATACCTTCTTTGCCAGATCTAACGG